AATCAACATTAATAAAAAATAAGACACCTGGTAATAGAATAGGCAAATAGTGGTTAGGGAAGAACGCAATGGCCTATAGACCTCTAACAATGGCACGTAGCACTGTCATCAAACAGGAGCATACCCACTTGACAAACTGTTTAATCAGATAGAATGGAGCAACTTGGCTCATTTAGAGTATATGTAGTGGTCAGAGGAAAATTGTTGGAGTCCAGCTGTCCCTATTTAAATCTCAAACTCTAACCCTTATTAGCAGGGTGACTTTGAACTAGTTATCTAGCCGCTCTATGTTTTAGCGTTCTCATCTACAAAATGGGAGTAAGAGTAAGAGTAAGAATTCAGACATCTTACTTCTGTCATAGGTTGTTATGAGAATTTATTTTTTTATTTTTTAATATTACCAGCCCTCTCCCTGGGCATCCCAACCTCCTTATCCTGATGTTCTACATTATCTTTCTTCCATAGGATTTGAAAATTGAGACCATCTGTTTCCATATAGCTTACTATCAGAACTAAGATTGGAGATCTGAGTTATCAATATGACACAGGACATTTTTGTCCCAAAAGATAAGACTGTACTCTAATACAAATATCACTCTTTGCTTCAGTAGTACAAACTGATTGATCCATGCAGTTTCCTCATCTGTGCAATTAGCTCTCCTATCAGGCAATAGATTATTCATACTTTGCAAACAGGAGTTTACTTTTCAAGACTCTATCAATCCTATTATATTCCAAAATCTGGCTGACCGTAATCAACTTCCCACCTTGAAAGATACATCTTAAGCTACTTGATCCTAGGCTACAACCATTGGAAACACCCTTCACCAATGTGCTAGGTTTTTTTTTTTTTTTTTTTTTTAGTACCGTGTCTCATACGTAGTCAGTGTTCAAAAATGTTAAAAGAAATAAAAGCTTGCCAGCCTGGGTTCCAGCTCTGATGTTTAGGAAGCCCTCAGAACAAGGCTTCGAGGTCTTGCCCATCTGACAGACGTCAAGGGGTTAAAATAGTGTGTTCTTGAATATTCTAGTTGTAGTTTTATTTTGTCAGAGGAAAAATAATGTTTCAAACCTCTTGTCTGATGTTCGGGTTTTTCCTAAGCTCTGCACCTGCCTCCTTTCTCCTAGGAAGGCTGAGAGGCTATTTAAGCCTTAAAAGGCAAGTATTTTTTTTATATAAACAGAAGATTGTGCCTACAGAAAGCATACAGGTCTACACTGCAGGAAGGAAAACGCAATCAATCCCTAAAGCATCTGTATAGATGAGGATGAGAATGCAAAAGTTATAGCAAGTCAGAACGTTGTTCATGCTTCTCTGCATCTCTGGAAAATGATCATTGACAAGTTTGTGGGAGATCAAACCCAAAGTTTGTGTAGATGCACTCACTTCTACAGGGTGCTGTCCCTGGCTTCCTTTAGGTGCTCCAGCCTCCTTTGTTCTTGTGGTAGAGACTAACTAGCTGCTCAAAGTTTCGGTCTTCCTGTGCATACATTTCCCAATGCCCTGGCAGTTTTGTTTCATCCATGTGATTGAGTTCTGGCAAATTAGATAAGGGAAGAAGCAGAAGCTCTTTGAAGCCTGATCATGAAGCTTTCAACACAATTGTCCACATCCTCTTCCCCTTATGTTGAATCCTTGGTCATATACTAAGCATGGCAGCATTGCAGGAGGAAAGGAACCTGGATCCATTAATCATTGCATGAAAAAAAAAAGTCACTATAGGAAGATCCTCTGGATCATTAAACTGTTATGTGAGCTGGAAATAAACTTTCAGTCTGTTAAATCACTGAGATTATGGTAATTATTCTTGTAACAGAAACTAGACTTCATTAGCCCAAATAATACAAAATCCCATGTTGCACAACACTGACTGAGATCAATCTCAAAATTATTAAGATTATATGTGGCAACGTCGATACCACTCTACCAGTTCATTCTAAAAAATGTAGGGGAAAATACTTTATTGTTTGACTTTCTGTCTTGTGTAACAAGTGGAGGAAAAAAACACCAAGCCTAGTTCCTTTCAAATCACAAATATGCGCTAACTACTCCATATATTAATATAGCTGATTCTAGAGAGCAATGTAAATAAGACATATACACAAAACAGACATGACCCAGATTCTGAAATTATTTTCGTTGTAAGACCTATCTTTTAAAATGTTGCTGGTAACAACCGAGTGGTTATGCCCCTGCCCTCTAAGGCCAGTTAGTTGCTCTTAGGTGCTTTAGTTAACATATTGTAATTAATCTTAAGCCTTATGTTTGACTGACAGGGACTTTGTCAATTGTTGATGTAATGAAATAGCATCATGAGGAGAGCGTTTATTTTTCAAACGCGGGTCCTCAATATTTTCCTATTTCATACCAATTTAAAATTTGATACAATTTAAAAAGCCTCCCTATCAAAATACATATACAAATGTAGTAACTAACATTAGCTCAGTTTTAGCGGCCCTGTTTGATCCCTGTGGAGCACCAATGTGCCCTAAAATATATAGATTCTAGGTTGAAAGCTCCTGGAAAGGACTGGTGGCTAGTTGCTTCAAAGATGTGAGAGAGGGTATGGAACTGAGGAAACTGAAGAAGAGAGTTTATACCATCAAAAAGAATGCTAAGAATAGCTACCATTTGTTGAGTCCTGGCTGGATGTTAGACATTGTGCTAAATGTTTTAAGAGATTTAATCTTTACAAAAGCTCTTGGTATTGTAATTATTATTGTACAAAGAAGGAATTCGGCAGAAAGAAGTCAAGAAACTTGCCCTAGATGGCATAATCAGTGAGTGGTGGAGCCTGACTTCCAATTAAAGTCCATAGTCAACACAATGGGATACAGGATTTCATAGAAACTAAGTCAGATTTCCGAATGCATTGTTCTCAAGGGTGAGGACCATTTAGAAGTCAATGCTTTCCATCCTCTAAGTAAGTACACTCAATTAGAATTCAAGATTTTGTGTTTTAAGCAAATGACAACCAATCCCATTAGTTAATTTAGAAATACCATACATATGGCAAAAATTATTAAAAAGAGACTACTAGATTCCAGGTTTGTATACGGCAACTACTTTATTATTTTCAAATGCAAACTCTTTGCATTTAGTTTGCTATTTTACAATTTTACAAACTAGGTATAAAAGACCATAAATAAATGACATAAGTTATGTGTACCTAAAGTTTCATGAAGGGAAGAAAAAGACCTTGACAAATTAAAACAAAATATAAAATCTATGCCTAACTCAAAAAATTGCTCAAATTTTGGAACATGTGTGAACCAAGCAATGTTCTGTTAATTCTTCAGTATGAACTAAATTATAATATGCCTTATACATTCTAATTTTAACCACAGTCCTTGCATATTCCAACATACTTAGAGTGATACAAAAAATAAATGCACTCTTCAGTGTGTATCAATGCTTGATGTTGTTTGGAGAATATTAAATAAGTGAAAATATTGCTTTTAGAACTTTCCTTTACTGGTCAGAATTTAAGTGTCTTCAGACAAATATTGAGGCTATACGGGTGTATGGATTAATACACATATCCTTCACAGATTGAATACAAGAGGTCTCAGAACACACACACCAGCAGTGTAGTGAGCACAACCTTTCTTTAAAATAATAGCTTTTTTAAACACACCAGAACATTTCATTCATAAGATTGCTAAAAATAAGTTGGGGCCAGTGGACATAAGGTGAAGCTACTTGATTTGGTGCGGGAGAGCAGCTCTGTGCTGCTCAGTAGACAATCTGTGTGTGAGTTAGCATCAGAGCTCACTCGGCCAGGGCTTGCTCATGGGCTAGACACTGACCTTGAAGTTGGCCTCCTACCCTTATCTCTGGGAAAGATGATCTGCTCAGAGATTCAACCTCATTTCTTTACACATATTTTTCAGGCATCAATGCATAGGCACATCCCTTAAAAAATATATTAAGGTTCCCCCAAAAGGGGTGAATTAACTTTGTCACTCTGGCATAGAATACAATGCCACACACCCTGTCAGAATGTAATAAATATTTATTGATGATTTTCTCTACTTACTCAACAATAAACGGTTCAGAATCTTTTTTCCTCATTTTTCCCTGATTTGATGTTATAGCTTATATACATCGCCACGGTTTCTGCAACCATAGCTTAGAATAAGCAAGGCAGCCACTCAAGATTATGAAAAATGGCAGTATGTTGGCTGGAGTTTGGTATACATATCATATCAATACTGAATCTTCACACACCGGAGCTTCAATTCTAGAAGGCTGATGTTCTTTTGAGGGCAATGGGAGATAGCTGCATATTACTGTAGAACTTTCCATGTAATTTGGGAACCTGAAATTGCTTGAGGCCATTTCATCCCAACTATCTTAACCTCAAGAGTCACTGGCATGTCTTTTTCTGTGATATTGGGAGACAAAGTATTAATCCAGAACATTATCTCAAAGCTGACACACATATCTACGTTCATCTTCAAAAGTATATGAATTGCATATATTTGTTCGCATTCAACAAGTCCATTTATGCAGGAAAACAAAGGCTACTTGTACTCCATTTGGGGTTACCAGACAAATTCCATCTCCTCCTCTCTCTCCATCAAGGAACTGGTGATTCGGATGAGTTCATCAGAATTTGTAATTTTGATGATAGGTTGTCACCTGAATGGATTTATAGTTTAAATTACTCCACCATTAAGGTGAAAATGCCTCTGTCCAAAGCTGTAGAATTCTTCTTAAGGTTAGTGTGGCAGCTACAAAACACACTTATAGATACATGACATATAACATGTCCGGGTTGTCTTTCCAAGGGAGTGGGCACGGTCTCCAGGCCCACTTTATCACTTGGCTCTTCATCTTGGAACTGGTGGAAAACCAGAACTTTTCAGGTGTAGCATTCCACAACAACATTCACAGGCAGTTCTAAGCATGAGGTTATACACACGCGCACACACACACATACATACACACACACTCACACCTATGTACACACATCAAAAGAGATAGTCAGCTCATATTTAGTCTAGGAAAAAAATATATTTATATCACTGCAATGGCACACCCTGGGTAAAATGTTACTTCAGCAATGCATATCATAGGCAGCTCATAAGAACTGGCTTTGTTTTGTGTGGTGGCACCTGACCTGGTGTCCATAATAAAACCTGTAGCCTTTGGTCACTTGCTGCCATACCAATGCAGCAGTGACGTACAGGAATGAAATATGGAAAATACATATAAATAAAACCACAAGAGTTTGGGAGCAAGGGCTCTGCAGAGCTGCTGCTGCGAGACAGTACATTCTTCAGTGCAACTGGAGAACAGATGCTGAATCTTAAATGTTTGCTGTTTCTTTCACTGGGAAAGGGGATTTGAAAAATCACACATTTATCCTTTTCAGGTATGAGTGTTGTTTCATCAGTGCCTTTGCCCCAGAACTGGTGTAATAGAAGCAGAAGGAACCCATTTAGACGGAACCGAGGAAGGCGTGTTCTGTTTTCTTCCATAGGCTTTGTAATCAACAGGAAGGGCTGTGAGGCCAAGATAGCAGAATCTATTCCCTGTAGAGAAAAGAACAAGACTTTAGACAAAACGTCAACCAATATTGCCAGCCAGTTGTCAACCATTATTGTGAGGAAGAATATAGGTTCATAGACGTTGTTATGGCTCAGTACGAGTAGTTCAGGAGGGAGATCGTGAATGCTTACTTTCCTCCTCTGAAAAACAATTACAACAACAAAAAATAATGTTTAACAGCTAATTACAACAACTGCCATGGGTACTATTCTTATCTCCATTACATAGATGAGGAAATGGAAGCACCGAGAGAGGTTAAGTAACCTGCTCAATGCCATATACTTTATAGTGGGAAAACTGGGATTAGAGCACACACAGCCCCCATTGATAGCCAGGCTTGAACCATGATGTCAGCACAGCCTGCCTTTGAAATGAAAATCCTGACTTGTTTCAGTTCACAATCCACCAAAAGTAAAAAAATAATGATTGAACAAAGTGTAAGCTAAGAAATAGAATGCATTAGTTGTATTTCTTAAAATGAAAGTAAGTTCTGAAAAATGGTAGTATCTAACTTAGAGAAAGAAGGCCTCATACAATCTGCACGTAAATGGGTGCCGAGAGAGAACCTGGGGCCAGGAGCACAGGGAGAGATGTGCTGTGCCAGCGATGAGGTCTTCTGGGCTCAAGCCCCCTTTCACATACCAAGATTAATCAGCTGCAGGTTAGAATTCCAGACATCAATCTAGAATCCAACAAGCTTGGCACAAAGCAGTGGAGTCATCGTAGCTCTGCATGGCCCTCTTACGTGTCAAATAATCAACTCAAATCAAAAGAAGCAATTTTTTTCTTCCACGTGTGACACCTGATCAAGTTTGCTTCTTGAACCTTATCTCCCACCACAGTGGCCTCAAGGGTAAGGCAGGGATTAAGACCAAAATACACCTTTACAGACAATCTTGCTTATTTTATCAAACCACTTGTTTGTATTGTACACTGCACTGTATACTTATCATGTAGGAAAGAGTAAACAAAATTTATTTTCTTCGAGGTCAATAACCATATTTCAAATTGTATAAAATACTTAGTCTATTTGGCAAGATAGAACTAAAGTCTTCTCATAAATTATTCAGAGATAAATTATTTATGTAATTGAGAATTGTAAGTGTGGGTTAGGGTATAACATATCTTCAAGAAGCCTTTTGTCAGCACTAAGGCTTTTCGTTTTGACAATTATGAAAAAATGAAAGAAAAGTGGTCAGATCTATTTTTCTAACTGTTTTCTCTCAGGAAATCAGTAAGTCCATCTAATGTATTTTTTGAAACCTGAATGTGCAGGGCAGGTATTTATGTGAAGGACAAGAAGAACATGAAATGATCTTCAAACTTTGGAGTACAGGCAAGACAACATGGATACAAACTTGTTGATGGTGAGGTTCTTTTGCTACTAGAATTTCCATTCTTAGAGGAGAGAGGTCTCATAAACACGTGTCCCCTTTCAGTCTGCCAGCCCTGTCTTTACTTAATGCCTACATATCAGTATATATTATATAAATACATTTGTAATATTGAACAGGCAATTTGAGGACTTAGTGTGTATGTGAAAATGATCAGATGTTTAAAGTGAAAAATGTGGGAATGTGAAGGCTTATATATAGTTAATGCCAGAATAAGAGTTGAGAAAAATAAGCCTTCTCTTGTCCTTTGAATTCAGGCAACTCTTTTATCATGGGGAATTTTTAAAACAGAGACCAGACAAGCATGTGGTCTATGTGGGGTCACGAGTTAAAGAGAATTTGTTGTGACTAAATAAACAAATCATTGTTTCTTTGAGTCAGTCATGAAGACACCAAAATATCTTTATCATCCAGTTATTTTCATTGCAATGAAGTTTTACTTGTGCGTATTGTCTTTCCAATAATAAAATAACAATTTCATAAATGTCAAGGCTATATAATGCATGTTTATTCTGCCAGGAGTAATTAGGCAAGTCTACCACCTTTTGTATAGGTATGCATTTATCCCCAAACTCTTATAAATCTTTTGAAAGTGAAGAAGCTTCATCTGTACGGACTGCTACCACTGAACTTCATTTCACCCCACTCTGGATTGTTGCAATAAAACATTTGGTATCACAAGTGAAAGACAGATGAATAATACTTGGACAACATTGGAGGAAGAAGTGCACCTTTCTTCTGTGGAGCTCACTGTATTTTACATAAGACTATTTCATACACACTTGTAACAACACCATGTATTAGGAAAGGTGTTATTATTAAGGTATCATTATCTCTAATTTACAGGTGGAGGAACTGACTTATAAAGAAAAGTAGAGTGAACTTCCCAGTGTCAACATTTCGGTTGGCTTTAGAATCCATAGCTGTCCAGATGCCAGAGTCTGGCTCTCCGCCCTGGGAAACAATGCAACAGTTCCATTGTTCTCAGATTTCTCTTCTAAAACTTCTTGGAGGCAGTGGAGATAGTTAACACTTTTACTGCTGCTGAATATTATTTTAGATACTTGGAAAGTCCTTTCTTGGCCTTTCCATTGGCCTTGACTCTAATATATGAGTATGTTAAAATTGTTAAGATTCATAAGGTGACCTTGGAATGAGATAAGATTTCACATGCTGCCTTTCTTTCAATCTTTACCTGATTATCTCATTTCAGACATGCTTGCTGAGGAGTCACAAAACGACACTAACATAGCACATAATGTTAACTGGTTAGGATAGCTTAGAATTGACATACTCTCTTTTGAAATGTTCTGTTTTGGATGTACTCACTGTTTAGAAAAATGCATTAAGTCTTAAGTTGTTGACTTTAAGAAAGCAAAACTTTTAATTATTCAGTATATGCAAGATAACATTCTGTTTTTATTTAAAATATAATGCCCTAATTCTATTTGGACTATGGTGATTGAAAACAAAATATTTGCTAAAGACAAATAAATATATATCTTTTAAAGCAAGTGAAAAAAATCCACACACACACACACCCCTACATCTTGTCAACTTTTAACATGAATAGCCAGAAGCCCTAGACTTCAGCACAAGTGGTGATAAAACAAAAATTGTTGGGGTAGTTTTAAAAACAAATTTCACATTCCTTCCGAACAGAAAAGCTTTTACAACTAATGTTGCAAAAAAGGTTTTTACTAAACTGTCATGATTTGACAGCATCAAATTTAACATTCCTTGCTCTATAAGAAATAGCTTTCAGGATAAAACCAAGGGGGATAAAAGGTCAGTAAAATCAGCTAAGCTCTTGTTTAAAAGTGATAAAAAATGAAATAACTAAGACAAAAAAAAAGTTAAAACTTTTAACTTTTTTGTTAAAACAGTCCAAAGTCAGGGCGTTGGCTATTAGGAATGAACAAAACCATTTAATTCACCTGTGTAAAGAAGAAAATTCTAAGATATAAAATAAATTGAAAGCACTGAAAATTGATAGATTTATGGATGAATAGTGTGTTTTGAGTAAGTTATTCTCTAATAATGACAAGGTGAATTCCACGTCTCACTATTGACATCTTGGTAAATCCTTTTGGCTGATCCTGTTTGGTACAGATGTTACTGGAGTAGGACAGAAAATGAGGTTGATATAAAAGATTCTCCAGGACTTCTTAACTGAAGTAATCTCTCCAAAGGATGGGACAGTTGATCTAACCCGGTTAGAGAGGAAAGTTCCTGAGTTACAGTCTGGTACCCAGGACATAATCAATATGTGTGGCATGAAAGAACAGCACCAAGTGATAAACCCTTTGTGAGGAAAAGCACAGCCAGTAGGGGTCTAGGCCCATCCCTCCAAACCTAACCTCATTTAGTTCATATTTCACGTCATCCTGGAAGACCAGAAGGGAAGTCATACTGTTTTTGGTCTCCTTTCTCACTGTCAAAAAAAGAACTGAAATCCTGAAAAACACCAAAACTACCTGAGAGATATGAAAGAATATTTCTAGTCACAGCATTTCAAGTGAGACCAAGTTTAAAAAACAAACATTTCATTGGAGAAAGATTTGATGCTGGTTCTTTTGACTCACCTTACAGATTTGGGGTTGCTTCTTTAAAAAAAGAAAGTGTGAAAGTTCCCCATTCAAGATTGTCACAGCCCACTGTCCATAAGGTAGTTACAATAAGTTTGTAGAGTCCCAAAATACGACTTTATATGGCACAGCCTCAGGCCCAAAGAAACAGAAACCTCATTTTGTCCAGTTAGGGGTTATGGGGCTTGGGTTTTTAAATTTTTTTTTTTAAATCCACTTTCCATTTCTTTCCAGCCCCCCACATCATAGGAATCCACTAGGTGGCCTGAGCACAGAAGAGGCAACACTGATGAGCCAGGTGGTTTCAACTAGGTTATTTTCCATGGTATGAACCAAGCCCTACAAGCCACAACTGAGTCCTTCAAAAATGCTCCTGGGCATGGTCGTCATTCCAGTGAAAAAGAGATGACTGTAATTTATGCCACAAACAAAATACTACGATTGTAATTCCAAATGGAGAGAGGATCAGGGATGTCTCAGAGAAGCTCAGTGTCTGGCAGCAAATACAGCATCAAAACTCGGAGGCAGTGTTCTATTTCTATAGGTACATGTATTTTACAGACTGGTGATGAACAGAAGTACTTCTGAGAAACAATTTGTTCCAGGTCTCATTCAAATGACCGGCTGTCATTTCTGTAAACCCCGCAGTTTCAGCAATCTGTACACCAAGCAATGCTGCAGATTTTTTTTTTCCTTTAATTTCAGAGGGCGAAGACGAAGTAAAAAAAGTGCAGTTCTTCAATTAAAGTGCATGGATGAGGTAAACTAATTTCAAGAGTTTTGAGTTTATTCAGTACTGGCTCAGACAGGAACCATTCTGCCGTGCATCTGCTGCATTTGGGTTCTCATCGCCTGAACACTGCTCAAAATCTTATTCTGGTGCGTGATGGCTGTGATGCCAATTCTTGCCAGGTCACTGTAGGCAGGGAGAGAAAAGAGAGAGGAAACAGTCATGAAAGCTGAGCATCTCCTTTCCTGGGTTTCATGCAAACACACATTTGAATCAGCCACAATTAATACAGCACAACAAGGCAGGTGTATTAAAATGTTTAATTAAGCAATTTAATGCAACAATGTAGGTGCTTTATAGAGGCTGGGTAAAATTATACTCAATCAAAATGAGAGGCATTCCAGTTTTCTTTCTTTTTAAAAAAAAAATGAGTAGGATGATTATGCAGCTCAAAGCAAAAAATAAAAATATAAAAGGAAAATACTATTAAATCTAGATTTACCCTTTCGTGTTACATCGCTGAGTACTTACTCCTGGTTCACGTGCACCACAGCCTCTAGTGTGGTATAACCAGCAGCTGTGAAGTTATCCTTATACCGGTCCATTTTAATGGCCTGGAGCCAATCACCCACTGATACCACGGCAGAGAATTCAGGGGAACTTGGATCCAACAAGGCAGTGTTGGGTCTAGAAATGGAACAACAAAGTGTAAGCAGGGAGGGTCTATTGGTGAGGACGGAAGGCTCAGAAGTCGGATTGCCTAAAACAGGCAAGGAGAATGAAAAAGCAAGGAAAAGGTTTTAAATGGAATAACCTTTGTTAAATTGTAACATATGATATTTTGCACTTAATTTCACAAGACTGGTAAAGCACGTGTCAGTCACTGTGTTTTTCTTAATTCTACTTCCCGCACTTGTTTTATGTGGCCCTCTTAGTGCATGAATGCTCATAGCCGGTCTTTTAACACTGCAGCCTGGGGTGAAGATCCAGGGAGCTCTCGTAGCTAAAACCTGTTCAGTCTTTGCAGAAAGAGTCCAGTCCCTTCCAGCATTGAATATTACAGACTTTCATTCGGCAACTATGGAAACCTTAGTGAAGTATGAGTAAGGAAAACTGAGAGCTTGCAAACTGCCAGACTGGATGGGAGCACAGAAAACAGCCAGAATTCAAGTCCAGCATGCTTCCAGCCAGGTCTGCAGGCCGTCTCGGGGCATTCAAACAAACCTGGGACAGCAGGGAGTTAATCCCCTCTTTAATCAACCCATGCCTGACCAGCACGACTGCCAAGGCTGGCAGAAAGAATGGCCACTTTGATCACTGTTTGGATTGTGGAATGTGCTTCTCCTGTTCCCTTGCTGGGGCTCCCCAATAATGATTTTAACAAATTCAAAGCACTTCTTATTAACTTATTTATTAGTTTACTCGTTTCTAAGCCCAGGTGTTTTATATTAAGTCACTGTCAAGAGCAACTGCAGGCAGGAATTTTGCCATTCCTGATAGTGATACATGATAGATCACTTATTTATGGAAAGTATTTATTAAGAGAATTATAGTCATCTGCATCATCACACTTCTTAATAATCACAGGGTAGACCTTCACAGGAGTATTTTATGCCACCTTCACTATAAGTACTTGTAGAGCAACACTGCTACTTGTTAAGCTATATTTTCTTGAACTTCGTTTTTCCCTAAAAAATTCCAGAATGTGATTGATCTTAATATTTTCATTTTGAGACTGTTTAAGAACACACATTAAAGTCAGAATTACATAATTACTATTAAATTTTCAACCAAAAAATTGTTTTTTTGTAAAAACAAAATGAAGTTGACATAATGCCCTAATTAATTTTCCACATAGCAGAATGAATCCAGTTCCATTTAAACATTTTTATTTTTACCTAAATTAATTTGATTTGATTACTTTTTTGTATCAATATTTTAACAAACACTTGTTTTATCAGTCAGTTTTATGTTCAAATAATACCTTGCCTTTGCAACTTTTTTTGTGTCCATTATTTCAAGTAAGTTCAATTTTCTGAGTAAAATTCTACAGACGTTTACAGCAAGAATAATCAAGTTTTAATTCTCCCAATTTTGAGTCAATAACAATTTTACCACATAGAGTTTTGGACATTAATCAAGTGTGGAATCATTAGCAATAATCTGGTTTTTTGTTTTTTTTTTAGAGTAAATATCAGATTTATTGAGTTTGCTGCAAGAAAGTAGTGGGCAGAAAAAGATAGCTGTCCACCAGCAATAAACTATTATTAGACAAAAACCAGTAGTTTGCATTTACTTCTAACTTTAGGCCAAAAGCATTAACAAAATAAGATGTAGTCTCAAGGTGCCTGCCAAGGTTAAAATGACCTTACAATGAAAATGTCCTCCCTCAATATCAATTAACTCTCAGGTCATTCTTTAGCTTTTTCTGGAAGCCTTTGTTCTCTTGGTGGAACATCATGACATTTGCCTAATTTTGTGCTGAATCGCATACCACATTCTACTGCATCCCATTATCAGCAAGCCATAATAAGCATCATAAGAACCATCCCTGAGAGACATTTAGAAGTGAAAATAGTGGATCCAATACCTTGATTTGTTCTGTACTTGGGTGCAAAGCAGAAATCAGGTAGTATTAGTGGCTGAACAGCTTATGCTAGCAGAACAAGCACCAAATACCAAAGAACTGGCCTTAGGACCCCCAGACAAAATACATAGGCTCTGGCACTGGATATCTAAACGGTGGAGGAGGCTTACCTTGGAATCAAAGAAGCCAGCTAGACCTCGAAAGAAGGCTTTATGTCATCTATTTCAGCCCCACAGAGAACAGAAGAACGAAAAATAGCCCCAAAATATTAGGAGATTTTTCTTTTCAATTCACACTGTTGCCAGGTGGCAGAGATAAGAAATGAATTCAGCCCTTTTCAATGTTATTTCAAAACAGCATGACCATCAAGCTTTTCGTATAGTGGTCAATGATAGTGGTTTGCAAGTCCAGAGAATACAGGGTATCTCTACTGTCTCCTCCACAATTCTCTCTTTCATGTCATTATAAGTGTTGTATACCTTCTCTCCTAGGATCTTTGGGCTAAATCTTCAGGAGAAGGCTGGAGGAGAACACCATAGAGCCTGCAAAGACTAGCAGGGGTTGGCTATTGTGTGGGGGAGAAATGGCCTTCTATTTTTAACTCAGGGTCATGATCAAAGAGAAGCCTGTGAGAAGCTCAAACTTGGAGATGAGTAGATGTCTCACCTCTTGCAGGCACGAGTCACTTAAAATTGCAATGCCTAAAGAGCTGTCCTCTAATCTTTATTTCTTACTATTCCAATCTTCCTGTTCCTTTTCAAAATATATCATCTGCTGATCTGAATGTCTTCTAAAAGTACATTTCATCCCATTTCCTAACTTTTCAGGTCTAGCATCATAAAGCACTACTTATTTCTTTGCTGTTTTTTTTTTTTTTTTTTGAGTTGGAGTCTCTGTCACCCAGACTGGAGTGCAGTGGCCACTCCCGGCCACCGCAGCCTCGACCTGCTGGGCTCCGGTGATCCTTCCGCCTCAGCCTTCCGAGTAGCCGGAATTATAGGCATGTGCTACCACACCCGGCTGATTTTTTTGATTTATTGTAGAGATGAGGTCTCGCTGCCCAGGCGGGTCTCGAACCCGCGGGCTCAGGCAATCCACTCACCTCAGCCTCCCAAAGGTGCGGGATTACAGGCTGAGCCACCGAGCCCGGCTTGTTATTTTTTTAAAACACTTTTTTTCCCTTACTACTGTTTGAGGTATGGCAGGGATTAGGCCCTTCAAAATAGTGAACATAACTACCTTAATCCACTAATTGAGAAAGAAGCCATCTAGGTTTCAGAGAGCTGTAGAGTGGCCTCTGATGAAAAGGTAGAGATTAAAATGAGTCACCACTTGCTTGCCACCTCTAACGTGTTCTTTCGTACATCACTATCAAGTAAGCATGGCTGACCTGGAGCTTTCCGTTCCTGTCCTCTTCAAGCTGTTGGGGTTGCGGATGAGTTTGTCCAACATGTTGACAATCTGCCCAAATTTAGGCCTGTCGCTTCTCTCCTTCTGCCAGCAGTCTAGCATCAGCTGGTGGAGTGCAATTGGGCAGTCCATTGGAGGGGGGAGCCGGTAGCCTTCCTCAATGGCTTTAATCACCTACGGAAGACAAGATGGTACGTTAAGCTGCCAAGCAAGCTGCTGTTTGAGGTTCACCCTCTCGACTGGCATAGTTCTTATCCATGAAGCTGCCAGCAAGCTTGAGCCTGGGAATGGCTCCAACTCCTTCATAGAAGCCAAAGCTGGACCTGAGTATCGCTGGCAACAGGAGAGAGAAGCCAGCTGTTGCTATGAGATGTTCTCAAATGGCAAGAAGTGTTGATCTAAAACTCCAAAGGGAAGATGCATCAACGTTAGAGATCATATGGTTCTGCCATGCCCCCACCCCACCCCACCCCACCCGCTTCTGCTGTTTGCCATCAGCACACCTAAATACTCTTAGCAAAAGAGACTCTGACCTAGTGTTAAAGACCTAGTGCTCCGTTGGGAAGCAATTAATAGTTGTCTCCACAATGGAGTTTTCTTTGCATCATTTTAAGCCTCTGTCCTCGTGCACAGACAGCTAGTGGGTCAATACTAGAGCCCACCTCTAGATGCCCAGTCAGTCAGCTTTTCTTTTGGAAGACTACCCTCAGACACTAATTTTGTATCTCTTTCTTTGTCTCAGTTGGCTGTCAATTGATGCTGTTAAAGGTGTAAGTAGATTAAAAACAAAAGTATTAGCGAAAACACCAAAACAACAACAAATTAAAAAATCCTATTTTTAGGGCATTTACATTAAAAGGGACTCTTACACATCTAAGAAAGAAAATAATAATGGTAGATGATAATTGTCTTATTGCCCAAGACTATTCAGAGTGGTCTCCTTGCCTAATAACACTCGTAACTAAATCATTCAACAGTCTTCCTGCTCATCTAATTTTCTACCCTGCTGTCATAGGCATTACATTATTTTCTTAGTGGCTTTTCTCTAAGCCCCCTCCCCTTTTTTGGGATGTAGATTCCTGTAATGTAAAATGGTATAACATGCCAAATTTAAAGTGGGAAACTTCTTCATGGTTTCTTGGCCACTCATAAACTTTGTATATGAGTATCCTCTGGGATTCTGGAGGTGATTTTACTTGCTTGGGGGGGTTTCAAAAGGTTTTATTTGTTTCAAATCACTCCATTTGATTTTTTTTCCCTTTCTACCAAAATGATGGCTGCTAGACAAAACAACCAGTGATTGCAGCCATCCCAATGACCACATTGGACTCACCCTGTGGTGGGTCCACTGACTACTTAGAAATTGGCCTTTGGCCGAGCTCGGTGGCTCATCCTGTAATCCCAGCACTTTGGGAGGCTGAGGCGAGTGGATTGCCTGACCCTGCGGGTTCTAGACCAGCTCGGGAAATTGGCAAGACATCAGCTCTACAAAAAATAAAAAATTAGCTGGGCGTGGTAGCATGCGCCTGTAGTTCTGGCCACTTGGAAGGCTAAGATGGAAGGATCGCCAGAGTCCAGCAGGTCAGTGCTGGGGTGGCTGTGAGTGTGCCACTGCACACTCCAGCCTGGGCGATAGAGTGAGACTCCAACTCAAAAAAAAAAGAAAGAAAAAAGAAATTGGCCTTCAACAGAAAATAGTCAATTCAGTTGGGTCCAGAGTCAGTGGATTAGTATGACTGGTCTTTTTAACAAGCACACAACTTCAATTTAATATATCATTTTGTGATTTATCAAGTCCTCTGATCCTTTCTCTCCCATGTATTTTACCAACACCTTGTTGTGTCAGTATTACCTACTGCTCCTTGTAAAGTAGACTTCTCTATGCTGTCTTACTGAGCCCTATTCTATTTATTTCAGGCAATTACACCAGGTCAGTTGAATCCCTGTCTTTCTTTTATCTTTCCAGGTGCATGATGTTGACTCCAGACTTGATGAAAACATTTTATATTGAATTGATGAGAATGCAAGCAACATTGGGCTGATGCCAGGATAACACAATTTGTGATAATCCCCTAGACTGATTAATACTCTTTCATAAGTTTCCTGTCTACTGCCAGCTTGGGAGATGGCTCATGTGTTAAAAAAGCATATTTTCTCAGATTACTGCTGAATATTTCGGGGGGTCAGAGGACACAAACAAACAAATAAAAATCTGCTAAATTTGACATATTTTCAGCAGTTACTTTAATTCTATTTACCATATGCCAAATGAATTCTCATGAAAGTAATTCTCCAGATACATTTCCTATTGATTCCTATTCTACACAAAATCCAACACAGAGACAGACAATAGATCAATATTATTTGTGAGCAAAAAATGGTTTCAGATACTCTTTTGTGGATAAAGCCGGACAACTGAATGTTTAAAACAACAAAATTGTTTCAACATATATAGAAACTGTCAAAATTACAGGACTGAAAATATTTAGGTTGGAAACAATGATACTCTGCTTTTATGAATATTTGGCTTGACAAACATAAAGGACAGCTTAAATATCAAATAATTATAACAAATAAGTAAATACATTTACTACTTGTTCATTTAGGTTGTTTGTGTTTGTCCCTCTGAGAATTTCTAACCTAAAAATCCAAATTTTGCCACAAGAAGTTACTTAAAGGTGTCTGCATAGCATAATCACATTAAACAATAGACTACAGACCCCATTCACCTCTATGGTGTTTTTCTACCCTGTAATTATCTATCACTTATGCTAGCTGCTGTCTGTCTTCCCACCTGCTATGATTCTTCCTTTATAATTTACAGAAAATACAGTGTGAACACTACCATTCCTCTTAATCTGGTTGTTCAGCATACACAATTCTTTTTCCCCCAATAAACATGGAATGCATTATTTTCCCTAATGTTTTGAACCTTCTTTTACTGATAAGACAAACTGCATCCTATTTCTTGTACACCCAGTTCTTCCTTTAATTATCAAGGCTCTGCAACTTCTTGTTGTTTTATGACAAGGAAAATGGATAGGTGACATTCTACATTAGAGAGAATTAAAAAATAATTTCCAAAATATAATTCTAATTGATAAATTGATAAATACTACCATGAATTTGTAAACACTCTGATAATATTCTACCTCATACACTAAAAGTTAGGAAAGTTCAAAAATATAGATGGCCATTTAATTTGGATATGATTTCCAATCCTTCCAGAACTAACTAAAATTTTTCCAAAATTAGTTAAAACATGTTCTAGGAAGACCCTTGATCAACATCTTTTTGTTTTGCTTTGTTTTTCTTTCTTACTGGAGATGTTTGTAATTAAATTCTATTACTCTGGAATCTTATTAGTGTCATTATTGAATGCTTTTCTGAAATTGCAGGCATCATGGATACTCCTTTGCAAAGTAGTCCAGATGGTACATTTAAAGGGATGTGCATAATTTACAAAGGGTCACTTAGCGAAGCTTTATTTTAGAGTCTCAAGGGCCAAGCTCTAATTACAACTGTGCCAGCTTTAAAATAGTCACTACTTTTCTTTCAAACCTTTCATGCCAACTTGATTACATGTGAAATTTATTTTTTCATAATCATTGCATTTTCTTTAATTTCAAAGTTTCATTTTGTTTCAGTCTGGTTTTGGAAAATCACTAAGTAAAAATACTACCTCATATTGTTTGTTTGCCTATCTACCCATCTATCTATCTATTCCCATACTGTACCATGTAGGCAATCAAATTTTGGTCCTTGAAATCGATGGTTATTGGTGGCTATAAGGTTGAACAATATTGCTAGATATATTTGTATGAAGAAGTTTGAGTTTCAGGCATCATTTCAAACCCAGTGTTCACTCTGTCATACAGTAATGCTGTACTTCCTGAATCTCAACGCGAAGACATATATTTCAGAATATAGAGACTTACGTCTTGATTGGACATATCCCAATAGGGTCTCTCTCCGTACGACATCACTTCCCACATAACGATTCCATAGCTCCATACATCACTTGCTGATGTGAATTTACGATAGGCAATCGCTTCTGGTGCAGTCCACCGGATGGGAATCTTGCCACCCTGTGAACATTTGAGCCATAAGTTATTCCTTAAGTACATCGTGATGTAACATTGTAGATTCTGAATGTAGTTACTGTTTGCCAGACAGGACAACAGCATTCCTGAGATAGCTCTCAAAACAATAATAAAAGACTTGTTCATTTTAACTAAATTCTTCCAGGTTGAGACAGTTCTCCTCATGTTTTCTTTAGTTACAGGAAGTAAGTAAGTAATCTAATTATTTTTTGAGGTCTATCTAGTGTCTGAGCTCTGCTTAAGGCAGTATTGTAGAAGAGAGGGTATCTCAAGTTTTATCAAATATATATGTGATCCATGCTACATCAGTGAATATGTAGCTGACATTTATTTTGATTTCTTGTTGGATTCTCTCACCTAACATCACAAAGGAAGGCAGTGTTTAATACTGCTTCAGGCTCATGAATTAAGGAATTTAAATATGAAAATTTCTATCCACCACACCATCTACCTTCTCTTATACAGCATGAGGAACATGCCCAATATAGCTAAAAGATAATATGCTAAAAGACCCTTAAAGGCAAATGATATCAGATATTAGAGCAATTACTGACTTAAAAGAAATAAGAGCAGGATTTTAGTTGTTATTTAATTAAAAAAGAAAACACTTGCAAACATGGTAAAGCAACTGAATATTGCCCAGGAAAAGTTTAACATATAATTTTTTTTCTTTTTTTTGGCCTCAAATGTCTCTCGTTAATTTATGTTTATGTGTAAGGGGTTTTTAATCGAGTTTCAAATTTCCTAATGTTCCAACTGGGAAAATTAATTCAGTTCAAATTCAGACTCAAGCTATTCCAACGGTCATTATTTAAAAGTTTTCTTTGTTTTATTAGTTAGGGCTACTACTAAACAGGGCAATAAATTGTACTGGAAAGTGCTTTGATACACTGCAGTATACTGTGAAAACCCAGAATATTACATTCACCCTTGTTACATAGAGAAGAACACTTGTGCGGCCTTCCACCCTGCTTAAATATTTGGCTAAGGCTTTATCTATGTAAATGTATCATTCTAGAAGCCTCTTTTAACTTTTTTTTTCCAACCACCAGGAAAAAAATGAAAGATCTTCAGCATTCACAAAGGTGTATTCTTTCCTAAATGAATGGACATGAAATTCAAAAGAGAATATGTATAAGAAACAAAACTGGAGCCAAAGAAATATAATATTATCCCCCAAATTTCAGCCAGTCAACCAAAAAAACCAAAAAGGCAATGCTTGGGATTGCAGATGCAAAATGGTGAGTATTAAAGTTGGGGGGGATTGGTTGGTAACTGTTCGCTTTGTGTTGATTTTAACAGTGTCAGTCTTAATGGCCAATAACTGTTTTACGAGTCTGTGTTTATTCCATTAGTGTTTTATATTCAGATAGTCAAGCTAAGATAGCATAGCCATTAACTGTAGACTGAACACTCTTAACTGTGCCCTAATCCCTGCTTATCTACCAGCAGTAAAATGAAGGCCATTAGATACTAGAACATCCTGCATAGCATAAATGTTTTACAAATCCTGTATGTACATTCTGAGATTTGGTAGCCAACTACTAGAAATGTCACTTTGTCTTGTTTAGAGTAAAACATTTTTTAAAAAACAGAAAAAAATGTCAAACAGAAAATCTAAAACAGGAAGGGAGGAAGAAAAGCATGGAGGCAGGTAAGCATGGTGTAAAAAATACAGAATATGCAAAGTTACCTTCTGATTTTCTCAGTAACTGATCATCTCTTGAGTAAATTTACCCTTGACACTTGATAATGAACTTAACATTCATTAGTGCTTTTCCCAAAAATATGTATAGAGGGGAAGATAATTCCTTTTGCTTCTAGTTTGTGGCTTTGAAATATGATCACACACTTGAAGTCAGCTTCAAGTTCCCTCTTTTCTTGGAAATATAATTTAAAAATGGATGCAGGAATATCAAGAGACTTAAAAGGATAAGGAAACTTAAAAAATACAAAATCACAAGGGGCTGCAACATCAGAGTGATGCCAGAGGAACAGTTTCATTTTGTTTGTGTAGCGTTCACAAATCTTCCTTACCCTGGTAGTATAAGCTGCTTCCGGGTCATCCTCAAGCACTCGGGACATACCAAAATCAGACACTTTGCAGACCAAGTTGCTATTTACCAGGATGTTCCGTGCAGCCAGATCGCGATGTACATAGCTCATATCAGATAAATACTTCATCCCAGACCCAATACCACGAAGCATGCCCACCAGCTGAATGACTGTAAATCTGCCATCATTTTTCTGCATAGAAAAGGAGTGAGGAACAATCCCATTAGCATTAAGCCAAATTAATTATCACCAAGCATATATTACTTAGATTTTTTTTGATATCTGGATCCCATATGCAGTGAAACGCAACATTATTTCTGGGCCTTTCTGACCAAAGTCACTAATTTACTAGTAGAGTGTACCCTAGGAGTTGGGTTTGCTTCCTGTGATAGATGGAAATTATCCAACTGTAATGAATCTATGGCTCAAACAGCTCCACGATACAAGAATAAATCAAATACTATTCTTCTTGAACATGGATTATTTAATAGCCTTAAAAATCACATCACTCTCTATTTCTCCTCTTCTTCTTTTGTGCCATCATAAAAGTCCATGAATACAATCAAACAGAAAGAACACAAGGAATCTGTTAGAGTTTTCTAAATGTTGACATTCTTGGATTTAATATTAAGTAGTCACATACCCTGAGGAATGCATCCAAGGAGCCATTCTCCATGTACTCGGTTATGATCATTACTGGTTTACCTAGAGTTTTCAGAAAGAAAAACACAAACCCTTGATGAGCACCACAGTTAATGAGATAAAAATGGGTTGTGCACAATTTTACTGCCAAGACACCTGTCTTGTGTGATCTAATTTAATTAAAACAAGCCAAGCTTATGCCTCAGCTGTGGGGAGCTAGGAATGAAATATTAAAAGGACGAGTAGGTTTAAATTCCATCTGGATGGTTAACCCTTTGGGTGGCTTGTTGACAAGGTCTTTAACTAAAGTGGCCTCTGGTATCCAGGGAGCATAAGAATGGATAATTGCTCTCTCAAGCAAAGGGTAAATGATAAATGGAAAGGCTTGTTTAAATGCCAAAAAACTTTAGGATAATTAATTAATTTTGTTCCCAGAAGAGCCACTTGTGAGATGCTGAAGGAGTCAATGGGCAGAGAAACTCTTTTCTTTATTTAGAGAAACCCAAGTTTCAGGGAGGAGTTATATCGACTCTCAATACTCAGACCCTTCTTAAAACCCAAGCAGGCACAATATAAACTTCTTCCCCCTTTGTCTTGCAGGGTCAGAGGCTGTAGTCTTACTCTTCCTCTTTTCTATCTATGCATAAACTTATTCTGTTTGCTTCCTTGATCATCTCAAGAGAAAATTACCACAGAAAAGGCTCAGAAAATTATTTTATCTGAGACAGGAATTTAGATTTAGTAGTAAATTCTTACTCCCCACCCACCTTTTTTTAAAGCACAGAAATAAAAATGATTTTAAGATCTGAGAGGAGTGGGATGGAAACATTTTCACTGCTTCATTCTCTTTCTGAGGACCTTAGGACGTAGAAGCCATAATTTAGTTTCTTGAACACGAGCAATGAACTCAAGGTCTGAAATTCCATCTTTTTAAAGGGTATTGTTTGGGGTAGAAGGTGGCAACCCCAAATTTTGTTTTTACTAAGGCAATGGTAAAAGGGTAATAAAGAGTCCGTAAAAAAATTCCCTTGGAAAAAAATAAAATGTTAGTCTGATACATCAAAAAAATTCATATTTTTATTGCTACACTTGATGATTGTTTGGACTTAGACATTCAGTCAGGGGAAATGGGCTGAGATATTTCACTGCTAAAAAGCACCCATAATTATGCTAAACCAATACATTTTCCACCCAGAGATACTGTCAGTTATAATTTATAGAGTGGAAAATGTGAAAAATGTCATCACTTTAGAGGCAAAAATTTTGAGGAGCACACATTTTTAATTTCAGTGAAGTCCAAAGTATCAGTTTGTGTATTAATTGTGTTTTTGATGTCTTGTCTACAAAATCTTTCAGAGGTAGGCATCTGGATTAAAAAACACTATCATGGACATTTTCTTTTCTTTTCTTTTTTGTAAGTGAGAAAGCAGGGTTTATTGAGAGAACAGAAAAGCTCCCACAGTGGGAGGGGACCCGAGGGGGTTGCCCAACATTTTATTTTCAAGTGAGGAATGAAGGCTGCAGACCAAAAGATAGATACAATGACTACCAGTCTTCCCCTTTGCTGGAGGCGGGTGATCATTGGGTATCTTTCCATCCTTTATCAATATAAATAGGAAGCACTTCATTTTCAGATTAGTTTACCCTCTACATCTATGACCACACTCTTCTATTTTTTTCCGTTTTTTTTTTTTAGGGACAAAGTCTCACTCTGTTGTCCAGGCTGGAGAGCAGTAGTATGATCACAGTTCATTACAGCCTTGAACTACTGGGCTCAAGGAATCCTCCTAACTCAGCCTCCTGAGTAGCTGAGGTTACAGGCTTGTGTCACTGAGACCAGCTTGTGATCACAATCTTCTGACCGAACATGCATCTAAATGAGTTTTAATCAAAATGCTTCAACCAAAAGATACTTTGTCAACTACTGAGAAAGGGCAGACTCTCCTGGAGGTGCATTAACACCTATTTCCATTTCACCAGATCCCTGTGGAGCTGTGGAGAAGACCGTAGAGGACCCAAAATAGAAGGGGTAGTGGGGAGAATTTATGGTCCTCCTGTCAATTTAAAAAGTTACGCAAGTAACTGCTGGTAATGAAGTCATACTCTTCCATTCCACCCTTTCCCCCTCACACCTCTCTAGTCTGACTCTTGGCACGGCACCATCTTCAAATTTTTCTACATTTTTTTTCTTGTATTAAAAGTATCTATTTGTCAGAATCTTTATGAGCTCTATAAGAGAAATAAAAATGAATGTCTCCATAAACAGAGGGGCTTAATAAATGGGCCTGGACTGATGGATGGAGGGGTCGCCTTCCCTGCAACAGGCAGGGATGCGGCAGGGAGGGGATAACTCCTCTGGTAAAAAATTTAAATCATTTTAATTCAGTGACAACTGCATTATGCAAATGAATCCAGTCGTTTATAACAGTTACAGCTGTAATAGCTACGGGTTTTAGAGGCGCAGTGGGACTTTAATACAAAGATCTCCTGTTTCTTGTCTCTTCTGCAGAGGTGCCATGAAAATCACTGTCTGCAGCAGGAAAAACACCCTAAGCTGAACAGAGCCTCCTTTTCAGAAAAAGGACCTGCCAAAGTATTTAAATGGAATGTTACCTTTTAATTAAAGTAGTGAAGGGCTTCGGGCAACCCTGAAGGCCACAGGCAACAGAAAAATATCCTGTCTGTAAAACTAATCTTACAAAGCAAATAGAGCTATTCTATGCTAATTATAGTCTTCATCTTAGGCAGAAAATTATACATCCTTGGCACTAAACTTCCTTTTTGAAAGTTTCTAAAGATGGAGGAAGATGTACTTCTTAAGACATACTAGCACCAGTTAATATTTTAGTGTTGACTTTTAATTTGCTATTATGCTAACCACTCTAAATATTATATTTCATTTCAAAATAACTTTATAAGGCAAATGTCATTTTTTAAATCTCCATTTTACAGATGAGGAAACTGAAGGAGAAAGATTGAGCAACTAGTCAAGATCACATGCTTTACAGCAGTAGAGTGGGTAAGCATGTCTTTTGTCACTAGGTCAATGATTCTCAAAGTGTGATTCCTAAACTTGCAGCACTGACTCCACCTGTGATGAGCTCATTAGAAATGCAAAGTCATGGGCTCCACCACACCTGCTGGATCAAACCTCTGAGGATGAAGCCCAGGAAACTGTTCTAATAAGCTTTCCAGAAGATCTTTACATTTACGTCTAAGGATCTCTGAGTTAGTGTATACTTTCCCTCACCTTTTTTTTTTTCTTGAGTTGGGGTGTCACTCAAGCTGGAGTAACAGTGGTACAATCAGGGCTCACTGTAGCCTCCAACTCCTGGGCTCAGGAACGTGCCACCATACCCAGCTAATTTAAAAAAATTTTTTTAGAGACAAGGTCTCACAATGTTGCCTAGGCTGGTCTCAAACTCTTGGACTCAAGCAATCCTCCCGCCTTGGCCTCTCAAAGGGTTGGGATTACACGTGTGAGCCACCACACCTGGCTTCTCACTTTTTAGTAACCTTCTCATTTCCTCCTCCTAAAGATTTTGTACCTCGTGTCCTACTACTACTCTGTCCAGAACTAAAGTTTCCGTTTTCCTTTTTAATCTACACTCCCCCCATCACTTCACCCACTGGAGCAGCCATATTCTGACCACTCTGCACACAGTGACTGAACATGCTTTTCACAGGCACATTGAATCAAATAAGAGAAGCCTTGGCCAGGAGACATAGCCCCAGGCTTACAAGATCTCGACTTGTAGTAACTGTAGTTAAGTACTAGGGCTCCTGGAACAAAGCCACCTTCAACAGTGACTGATTCAGCTGCACTGTCCATGTGGCACTTTACAAGTTGGTCTTAGCCACCTTACAGATGTATGCAGGGTTTGCTTCGCAAAATGCATCTGCTGAGCTGTGTCGTATTTTAACTGAAGCGTGGTTCACAGGCTCAGCGAATGCTAATGGACTGAAAAAGGAAAGTTCAACCAGGTGTTACTGTAAATAGGTGCTGAACTGCAACAGTCATAAATCAGGCAGCGCAGACAAGCAAATACCCCAATATAATAAAGATTCCCAAGATTCACTCTCTGCATCTGGAACTGAAGCTTCCAGCACAAGGTGTGGCCAGGTTTTGTTGTGCTTTATAGGAAAAGTACTTAAATTTTATTTTGCTTGCCATCTGCTTGTGACTACCCTGTGACAATCAGTTTGGCCTAGCAAAGATTTGAAAGATGGCACGGCATACCAAAAATCTGCAATATTAATTTCCCTAAAATCTCGCACAAGCTGCCTTAGAGAGGGTATCAGGCGAAACCATAGACCCATTTAGAGCTGACTACAAGATTAATGACTTGTCCTGCACTGATTTCCTCCTATTAGCAATCAGTGGGTCTGCTCCATCTGTCATTTCCCTGGAAAGAAAATGTGTGTTTAATTTCCCAGTAACTTCTAACTTGGCTTTGTAAAGGGAGTGATCCACGTACATTTAGTGACGACGCCTTCCAAATGAATGATGTTTGGGTGATCAAACTGTCCCATGATGCTGGCCTCACTCAGAAAGTCTCTCCTCTGTTTGTCTGTGTAACCAGCTTTCAGGGTCTTGATGGCCACACAGATCTCTCTCTTGCCAGGCACTTTGAGACGCCCACTGCATACCTCGCCAAATTCACCTTCAGGAGAGAAAAAGAATCTACGATGGACCAAAACACATTCCAGATGAAAGAGTAACCGCTAACATTCCTTGAGTGCTTTTTTGATGCCAGGCACCGGGCCAGTGCTTTACATAGATTATTTCACTTAATCCTCCCTCAACTTTGAGGAAAACACCATTATTACATAGCTCGATTTTTATCAGAGAAAACTAAGGCTTAGTGAAGAAACCTACCCAAAACCTCATATCATGATAAGAAGTAGAGTGAACCTTCTGAATGCAATCTACCTGACTTCAGAGAGCACATGCTTATTTATTAATTTTTTCCTAAGAATAAAATAAAAAACCAGAGTTCTTTAAAGCACACCACATTTTATACTTCAAATAAGGAAATTCCATGTACACAGATATTTACATGTATACATATTCATGTAAAACACTCATATACACATATACATTTAAATAATCCACACTATATATTTACCATTCACTGAGAAAATACTCATTGGCTGACAGACACTCAGACACTTACCAACTCCTATAACTTTTTCAATCTTAATGCAGGATGCATCGATTTCTTTGGCAAATTCTCGAACTGCTTGGTTGGGATCTTCATATGTAAAGGGATCCACGTAAGTTCTAACACCTAAGCAATAAATGTGATAGGTTAACTGAACACTTCTCAGGAACCACTAACAAATATAAGTAGTCTGCGTCTAAAACTACTTAACATAGGAAAAGTTGGGTTAGTTTTGTGGTTTTGACATCCTAAAATGGTTACATTCTTGCTCTGGTTTTCATTAGAGAATAAACAAAGAATTGTTAGTTACTTAAGAGGCGGCAGCTCTACTGACTTCCTGGAATGTCTTCACACTTCAAGGACTAGATTTTTAAAACAATCCATCCCATGGAGGATGAGAAAGTTTCTATAAAGAAATTTGGAATGTGTTCAATAAATACTATTGTCCCGAGCAGTCACCCGGAGTTCCTTTCTTTGTACTAAGTCTTATCCCCAACTTTCAGCTATCCTCCCCGAGAGAGAGGATAAATAGAAACTTTTTTATTTCACCCAGCCCTGTCTACATGATGCCACATTTTGCCGAATATCTGACCAATGAAATGTGACCAATAATTAAATTAACAAATTTAGATTAAATGTAGGTTAATATAGACAAGGAGGATAATATCAGTCGTTTATTTGAGAATATAGACTTTATTGGAACCCCACTTTTATGCTGTTTTGGAAAGAAGATGTTATAAGAAAAATATCCAAGTTCTCCTGGAAGCTTCAGCTGGAGATCACCGTTGGAGCCTAATTGAGAAAGATCTGGACACCAGGAAGCACGATTCATCCATACCTCCAAACCAAATTTAGAATGTGGGTTCAGAGGCAGCCCGGTGACAGACATTTGGGCCAAAAGACAGAAGTCAGTATGAGAGTTTTCTCCTGGCATTCACCCCTCTCCCTGCTGGAGATTCTCAAGCATTAGGGTATGGAGAGTATGTAGGAAGCCAACTGGCCCAATCCATTTGATGTGCCAAGCCTGTCGGTCTTGTCCTCATCTTAGCATCCACGGTTGGGAATAATCTACTTAAATTAGCATTTTCTTTGCTACCTCTTGTTTAAAATGTCATTTTTGTTTTTAAACATATATCCCATGCGAAAATTTAAAAATATGGTTTTACAGAGGAAGTAAGATAAACAAATAGAAAGTTGTCAGACACTCTATATTCCTCATCACTTTATATACTTTAGCTCACGGTCATTCTTTTCACTCCCAGTCTTTCTTCCTTCTACCTCCCTGAGCTAATATGTGAGTGACAAGTCACATGTGGCTATTCACATGGAAATAAATTAATATTAAATTAAAAGTCATTTTCTCATTCACTTTAGCTGCATTTCAGGTATTCCAAAGCATAGGACCAGCTATTTGGCTTACATATTGAATAGTGCATTATAAAACAATGTCATCATCTAAGAAATTTCTACTGGATAGCACTACTGGATAGTTATCAACCACTGTCCATTTAAATACCTTCTGCTTGCTTAAGTCATTCTAGAGCTGCTTCTTTGAATTTATTCTTTAACCCCATTGGAACATCAAAATAAGTAGAATCCACTAAAACATTATTGATAGACAAGAATTCTATTTCACATATAGCCTTTCTTTGGGATATAGCAATTACTGTTCAATTGCTTAGACTTTGTCTCCTCCCAAATTTGTAGCTTATAAGAAAAAAAAAATCACCCATTAAATCTTGCCACCCAGCTACAAAAATGAGCCAGCTAGGCTAGTACTTTTTCAGAGTAGAGAATAAAATAGGACAAAGGAAAGAATCTAAATAAAATTCTCCATCCCACTTCCCCATCTTTAATCTCACAGTCCCAAATCACCTATTTTAGTTTGATGTCTTTGAAGTACATTATTTGGATAAAAAATATACAATATTGATAGCCCCATGAATATTATTTAGACATTTCAAAACCAGAAGACAAAAGACATACTCTAAAAATAAAACCATTCTTTATTTACTTTTTTATACCTTGATTCAAATGTTTCTCTTCATCTGCTTCTTGTTTGGCTTTACTGTATTTACTCCGTCTATTAAAAAAAATTTTTAAGAGAAAAATCATTTTTCCACAACACAAAAGGTATAACGCAAGCCACAAGATAAATTATTTGTTGCTATTGTAATGTAAGTTGGGCAGATATGCTATGCACATTTCACAGATGAGAAAACTAAGTCTCAGGAGAGATGAAACAACAAGGTAAATAGCTTCTCATCTGGGTAATGGATCATGGTTTCAAGCTCAAGCAGTCAACGGCTCTTCACCACAATTTTAAATTGAGGTGTCTTACAATAAAGCAAATATTTTATAATATAATTCAAATCCCCAGAGGAAATTTATCTTCTTGAAGATAAGTTTATTGACTATTCTCTTCATACACACATATATGTGCATGTGTGTGTATGTATACATATATATTTCAAGTTAAAATAAGTTTCCATGTGTAATTCTGAATATATCAAAAGGCAGTAATATTCCATATGTGATAGGTAACAGTAAATCCTGTTGCTATAATCATGATAGCCACTACCACAGAAACTCATTATCATATTACAGGAAGTAGTACTTCTGTGGTTATTGGTTTCAGCTGCTGCATACATATTCCTAAATTATTAATAAAATTTTAAAAAGTAAATGTTTGCTTTGTACTGAATTACGCTCCTTAATTTGTAAAAAATGAGCATGAGTAAAAATGAGAAGTTTTCATTTGCCTTGTCTAGTACTTTTTCAATAAAATGGCATATAGTCCCAAAGTTGGCACTCTGTTTCTATGTCCTACTGGAGTGAGAATTGGCTTTGTTATAAAGCTTTGGAAATTAGAAATCTTATGAGCATATAAATCTTGAAGCAGGAGTATATATGTATCACTTATATGAACTGGAAAATAAACTCAAGTCTTGGGAACCAAAAATGTTGAATATATATACATCTCTAATTGGGAGAATATGATCACTTACAGGCATTAGAAAATAAACTCATCTGGGATCGGTGGCATATGGTCAGCCTGTAATCCTAGCACTTTGAGAGGCTGAGACAAGTGGATTGCCTGAGCCCGCGAGTTCGAGACCAGCCCGGGCAGCTTGGCGAGCCTTCCTCTCTATAATAAACCAAAAAATTAGCCAGGCGTGGTAGCACGCACCTGTAGTTCCACCTACTAGGAAGGCTGAGGCGGAAGGATTGCCTGAGCCCAGTGGGTTGACGCTGGGGTGGCCGTGAGCATGCCACGGCACTACAGCCTGGGCGACAGAGTGAGATTCCAACTCAAAAAATAAATAAACAAATAAAATAAACTCAGTTGATAGTACAGCTGTCTAATGCTTGGAAAGTTAAGCTCAAATTAGTGAATAAAATGTATGCATTATGTTCCTGTCAAAAATGAAAAATTTACATTGGAATTTATAGTTATCTTGTGCTTTTTTAGAGCTTCAAAGACAAGGTAAGTCAAGACTCTTACAGAAGAAGAGGCTCTGAGATGAGAAAAGTCTCCCCCAAGGCCATAGCTTGTTGGCAGTGTGGTCCTGTCAGAATCTGATTCCCTGAGCTCCTAAACTCTAAACAGGTAGAAAGACAGATGATCATATAAAAGAGAAAATAACCGAGAAATCTACAGGAGCCAGGCAGCGCAACCAGAGAGGCAACCCAGCAGCGGTCACGTGTTCAAAGCCTCCCTCCCACATTCCTCTCCTGATTGTCAGCAATGCAGGAACCAGCTCTGCAATCAGAATCTCAGAGCCTACAGATGTGTCTCCCTGTGGATAATTCCCTTGCAAATAATAATACCTTGCACTTTTACACTGCATTTAACTTTTCAAAGTTTCTCTCATCACATATATTATCTCCCCTCCTGTTTGCAAAGCAGGAACCAAGTGAGCAAAAGAGAGACCACGACTACTACAGTTAACATGAAGTGTGATATTTCAGTCCCAAAACATAGCTTGCATTTTCCTTTGCATTTAACTTTTCAAAGGCCTTCAAAAGGTCTATTACTTAATTGCCTCATCATGACAACCCTCGGAAAGCAATTGGGCAGACAAACACATGCTCAGTTTTGTTGTACAGATAAGGATATGGAGCCTGTTGAGGGGGGAGAGCAAGAGAATCACCCACGTGCCCTCTTAGCAAGTACAGGATGTGCGAGCCCCAGTCTGCACAGTGTCTCACACAGTGGACATCAGTTACACAAGGATACCCAACGAAAATCAATTAAAAGTAATATTACATTTTATAACAGTAAATCCACTTAGAAATTCAACTGCTCTTAAAATTCACTGCATCAGCAAAAAGAAAGAAAGAAAGAAAGAAAGAAAGAAAGAAAGAAAGAAAGAAAGAAAGAAAGAAAGAAAGAAAGAAAGAAAGAAAGTTTAAATACTCTCCAACTGAACAATGTTCTATAGAAGGCAGAGTCTCCTACAAACTTCTCCTCCCCTCAGTCCCCCTCCTTTCCTCTCTTTTAGAGGAAATATAAGAGCGTTAGGTCAGGGACTACTAAAATAACATTTTATGTCAGGAAAATGCCATTGCTGGGTCCCAAGGGTGTTGTAGGGTCCTGCCAGCCTGAAGGCTTGTGTCTTATCAGAACTACTAAAAGCATTATCTAAAATTACAAGTATATCTTTTAAACCACTTAAGATCTCGAATACTGATTTGAATTTCTTTCCTTTAAAGGAGGAAACATGCACAGAACAAGAGAGCTTTGGTATCAACTTTAAATTGTCTGTGGAGTTCATCACAAATCTGGCAAATAACCTAGAAACAAGTGGCCTGAAGCTGCCTGGCAGGGTGGTTATCCGTTTTATATCAAGCACATTCATTAAATATGTGCAAAGCCAGAGGAAATACAAAATGACAGGGGTCATTAATTATAAGGTTGACATGCTCATCTCTTCCTCAGACTTCTAAACATAGAAGGAGGAATTCAAAGAGCAGTGAAGGTGTGTTTTTAAAGATGCGTCTTTACTTGAAGTGCTATTTGGAGGAGAGGACCCTACAAGAGTCCAGGGAATGCTGAAACAAACACGCACACACACAAGAAATACTGTTCACAGACTAATTGCAGCTTTTTTGCTTTTTAATAATGCCTTGAAAACAACAACAACAAAACGCCTGTGTCCTGCTCTACCTTTGTCACCTGATGACCTTTATTCCTTGGCTGGTGGGACAACGAGGCCGGTTATTGTCCCATGAAAGAAAGCCCACTGATGCTCACTATTGGGTCAGAGGAAACAACACAGCTAGAAGAAGTGCTGAGTCTAAATTGACATCTGAGGCAGATCACTCGAATGGCAGAAAAAAACCTTTGTTGAAGATTTTCTCATTAGGGAGATGTGGACAAGCTTATTGAAAAGGGGAAGGAATGGAGTGTTTTTTCAGTGAGTGCTCCAGAAAGAAACATGAAACTTTTCAACGGCAGAAGTTATAGAAAAGGGCCGACACTGCAGGTGAAACTTTGAAAGAGTGTGAGCTGAGGCCTTCCCATAGTCCAGAGGACACAGTAATACGGGTATTAGCCTACATTGTTATTGAACAGCATGAGTCCTCCCAGCCAATGTGCCGTTCCTGGCACCTTGACTACTGGATAAAACAAACAAAATATAAGAGGAGGAGCGAGGCAGGAGTGCAGCATAAACCCTGTTTTTATTAAAATACTAACTTCCCTGGTCAAGTGGACAGACTTGATCGATGTGGTTCACTGTTCCAAAACTAATTAGTAAAAGGTAATTTATTCCACTAAAGTGCATATTAAAGAAGATAATAAAGCAATATAATAACTAGCATGACTCCGGGTGGAACCTTTCCAGCAGTGAATGGCATCACCCATGAAGGTTCATAGAAACCACCGTTCTTTTTCCTCTTCCTTAAGCTGTCATTGTTCTTGCACCAAATGATGTCTAAATGTTCTTCATGAGCAACTGTTGAAATGGTTGGAACTGAACCGTATGATTGCTCGCAAGTTGTTTAGAAATGTTCCCGAGGTACCATCTGCCCCCTAACTGTGTGAATTCACATGACTTCATCAGAGCCAATTTAGGCTAACATTTAAGTGTATTCATTCTTATGTGATCATAATATTCAAGGGAAGAAAATTAGGGGATCAGGGAAGATAGACACAGACTGAACAATCACTGTTTTAACATTATGTGAACACAGCTCCAAGGTGGATAAATCTTAGCCCTCAATAAGAAGACAAAACTAACTTTCAAACTCCAACTTTGTGTTTTTTTAATTAGACTTGCACATTAATTCACAGATTATAAATCTTATCAATATTACTATTAGGCTCTTGAAATTTTGGTTTGATAGAAATGTCAATGTCAGGTTTTTTCAGTTAAGATATTAAAATAATATATCTCTATGCCAGGATTTGAAGTTAGGAGAGCTAAACACCTGTCTTGATCAGGCAGCTAACTGCAATTAACTAGTTGTTTGATTTGTCTAACCTCTTCAGACTCCTCTCTGTCTGCCTATCTCTCTCTCTCTCTCTCTCTCTATATATATATATATATATAAATATATATTATATATGTATATATATAATATATATATACACACACACACATATACACTCACACACAGACTCTCCCCCAAAATGAAATTATCTTTTGGAAGGCAGGCCCCTTCTCCCACTAAGTAAGAGTTCTAGGAACCCACTGGTCTCAAGGTATAAGCTAGCACTATTGTAAGAGGCTGCGCTCAGTTTCAGTGAATTTTTTTGGAGATTCTTTCAACGTATCTGCCCATTTCATTATGGATGATTTATGAGCGCATCTGCCCACACCCCACTGAGTGTTCAACGGTTTTTTACCAAAATTGATAGGATCCTCATGCCCCACTCTCCTTATCCACCCGATCTCACCCTGAGCGACTTTTTTTCTGTTTCCCCGATGAAAAAAGTCCTCAAAGGGAAACATTTGCCGTTGTAGAAGAAGTGAGTCAAAAACCAACAGAAGCACTAAAAGGATGAAAATTAATGAGTTCAAAAACTGAACAGTGGAAAACGTATCTCGATGTATTGCATCAAACAGAGAGTACTTTGAAGGTGACTGAGGTTTAAACATGTAAGAATAAATACACATTCTTAAATGAAAAAATTCTGATGGGGTGGCAGTCTACCCTCACATATATAGGGATCTCAGTGAAAGAATATAGTCATAGTCACTTCATTTTTTTCTTAAAGTCAATTCACTCAACTTTCTTTATGCAGGTAAAAGGAGTTACCTTAAAATCTTAACATAAATGGAAACCCAGTATCACTAGCAATCATTAGAAGGTCAACACAAAAGCAGCATATGCTTGGTTATCAGTTAATGCTTTCCCCAATCACTATGTTGTCTTTTAAGAAATAGGTACTGTTCTTGTATTCTAGTCCTTTCTTAAAATTGTTTCTCATATATAAGTAGTAAAATACTACTTTGGAAAAGCACATTAGCCTAAAACAATCTGAATTAAAATTAGTTTGAGATGTTTCTGGAGGTTACTTGATGAAATCACTCCTATAGGAGAGGATATCAATTATTAGTCCTGGAGGTTATGAACTTACAATTGCGTTTTATGATGTCTCGTTTACAGTCCCTTTAAATATCATTTTAAAAGCAATAAAGAAAGTTGCTATGCTGTAGAGATAACAAATATATAAACAGGTACATGGAGAAATGGTGCCTTGCTGCTGAGAGAATGTGCACATGTGATTTGGCATAAAATTTCTAGGGACAGTATCACACGGGTACAAGAAGTGTTGCTCCTTAAAACAACCTAATAGCAAACAATAACGTGCTTTGGAAAGCTGATAGAATCCTGAAATTATAACCTGAGTGATGAGGAAGACACAAATCAAAGATGCATATAGAAAATATAAATTAATTTCTTTAGCATAATGTAGGTGGTAAAAACAATATATAAAATAATTATATATAATATATAACTAAATCAATGTACCTTATATAATATTTTATCTTAGGCATATAAATAAAGTTTATAAACATAGTAGTTTGATTCTTTCACTGACATCTCTAAATGCTGATACATTTAAGTTGGCCCAAAGAAAAAAAGTGGACCTTTTCATTGAAAGAAACTGGAGATTATTCTGGTTTGCCTTAGGCTCAGACTTCTCCGTATAAACAGAATATGTAAAATAAAATAAATGAAACAATTGCTACCCAAAAAAAAGATATCTAGAAAGATAGCAACTGTGAGCCTGAGGCCATTTCTTCTTTCTTAAATGACAAATTAGCACCAAACAAATTTTCTCTTTGATGTCATCAGAAGGACTGAAAGTTTCTTCACTGCATGAGTCCCCGTTCATTTACTTAAAATATCTCAAATGTTATCAACAGTATGGGAGTCATTCAGTTCAAGGGGACCACTATAAGGGCTCTGTCTCGAGCATCCTTTCTGGCATAAACTTTTGTGGCTCAAGGAAGCAAGAAGCAGCCCTCTCAGCAAAGGACATGTCTCAGATTTTACAGGCTAAGGTGTTCAATCTGCTGCTTTCTCATACTGCTGGCTGAAGTTTGGCAAGACTATTTTGGGGATACCATTAACTACCTTTCATTTTTACTCTCACAGAAAGCCTGGGCCAGGCTTTTGTCCACACTACCTGTCTCCTCTCTGTTCACCTGTTCTTGTCCCATTTAAACATTTATAGTCCAAGATAACAGGAAAGACAACCTGCGCGAGGAGAAGAATTGGCTGAGTGTGCATCAGCCACAGCAAGCCTGTCAGCTACCTGGCTCCAGGCGGCCTTTCCTGTGACAGCTTTATGGCTGACACTAAAGAAGAATCAATATGAGGGCAAGGGGTTGACATTTCATTTTCTAAAAAGTGATCCATTGAGGACCAATCACCAAGCACTGTTTATCAGCCTTGGGAAGTGACTTTTTTTTTAATGGGGGAGAAAGGACAGGAATCATCACTGGATAACTCGACAGGCTCAATTCTCTAAGGTAGGGACTCATAATTGGAAATCCGATGCCTCCTGCTATCAATCCTGCTTTATATAATAAAGTGATCAATAAATGCAGAGAGGAAATTAAGTCATCAAGCTTGAGGATGTTATTTTCTATAATCGCAGCTTTTAATAAACTTGACTCCCTGCATTACATTTTCATGTGTTTTTTCTTTCTTTTCATCAAAGTCCATGTTTTAAGCAGAACATATAAAACAAACTTATAATGAAGCGATTTATTTCTAATTACTTTGGTCTGACTGCTGTATTTAGGGATACTTAAAACAAAACCTAAGGTAAATCTAAAGGAAAGCTGAGCTACAATTAGAGAATGTTTCCAACCAACGTCAGAGATGGTCAAGACTCAAGGTAAGACACACTTTCTGCAAAGAACTATTCTAAGCATTCCATGGGGCTGCGCTTTCATCAGATATTTTGAGGTGGAGGTAATTAATGTTTTTTTCTGTTTTCAAACTTTTAAACACCTTTATTTTCTGGTAACAAAGATAGATTATTTCTATATACTGTAAAAATATCAGACACAGAAATATGTAAAAATGAAATTAAAAAGTCCATGTAATTTCTGAACACTCCTCCAGCGACTCCCTGCTTCCTATTATCAGATAGTCATATACTTGTGTATTCATTTCCCCACGTGCTCATATGTATGGTATGTATGCAACACAAAATTAAATGGCAATGGACAGGAAAGAAGCCCATCTTGAATGGCTTCCAAAATCAAATGCCAGAAAAATAAAGAACACTGGGAATTCAAATTCTTTTCAGACCAAATTGAAGTTTCCAAAGGCTGAGGATATATTGCTATTTAGGGTACAGTGGGGATGTCATTGCCTATATGCATATTTTTGTATGTGTGTGTTATAGTTACAGAAATGAGTATTTATGGTGGATGTCCCATTGCCCAAACATATCTAGTTACAGATTTTTCACTAAAAGAAATGAAAACAATGATATACAGATACCCACACAGACAGAATATGCCACTCTGTATTGTATTATTATTAGAATGAATATAATTGGTTACTACATACCAGGACATTTGAAAAGGGAAGGTGAGGGTGTTATATTAAGAAATACATGTACCAACTAGGACCATCCAGACAGACTAGATTATATGGGGGAGGGGACTCAAAAAAACCTGGAATTTCTTTATAAAAAATGGAGTATTTATTCTTACATGTCTAAACTTCAGTCACCTTCAAAGTACTCTCCATTTGATGCAATACTCCTATCAAGATACTTTTTCCACTGCTCAAAACAGTTTTTGAACTCGTAAATGTTGATGGCTTTTAGTGCTTCTGCTGTTTTTTTGTTTCACCTCTTCCACGTCGGCAAACATTTCCCTTTGAGGACTTTTTGTATTGAGGAAACAAACAAGTCACTGGGGGTGAGACTGAGTGAATAATGAGGGTGGGGCACAGAGGACATACCGTTTTTAATCAAAAATTGCTGAGCACTCAATGCAGTGCAGGCAGGTGCGTTGCCAAGGTAGAAGAACCAGTCACCTGTTGGCCACAACTCGGGATGTTTCTCCCCCAAATCAGGACACAGCCTTCTCAAAACTTCCAAATAAAAACTTCGGTTGACTGTTTGATCTGGAGGAAGAAATTCCGAATGTACTACAAGGGGCCCATCCTCCAAAAAGATAACTCCAATTCCAAGGAGGTTCCCCTTGTATGATCATTCCCTTAGTTATAATGTACATCAGATGGAAGTAAGAGCATAGTGGCTTGTCCAGGCCAGTGGAAAATAGCAAAAGGCATTGTTGTGACATTGGTAAGATCATCAGTAGGCAGAGAGGAACGGTACAAAGGATACTGGCCTGAGAGCCAGGCATGGCTACCGTAGTAGTTCAACCCACCACTATGGCAATGTTCTGAGCCTAGACAAGCATTACATCTTTCCTAGCACCGCTTTCCTCTTCTTTAACATGGCAAACTTTATATTGAAAAGGATCATTTTGACACCTCCAGGTTCTGCCTTTTACGAAAAACCCCACCCTGTGTCACAGTTGATGGTGTACAGGTGTGAAGGTCACAGAAGAGGCAGCCTCTCACTCATAACAGATCAAGAAGGCCTGGCTATGGGCACATTTTGATGTTGATTCCTCTGAAGTCCCTGGTAGTGCAAACAAGTCAGTGGAGGCAACATCAGTAAGAAAAACTGGTTCAATAGAACATACTGCCAAGGCACTGCTATCTCTCCCTCTTTTAGACGATTCTTTTAAGCATCAAGTCAGATTGCAAGCATTCAGCGTTACCCTGCTGCTGTAGATCATTCCCAAGAGCAATGTCATGCTCACAGTGTGCTCAGCGAGTATTCTCTGGAAATGCTGAGGGCCTTTTGAGGGCAGACTGAGCGTATAGTACCCATTTTTTGCTTTGGTGACCATTATTGTTAACCAATATCATGTTGGAGCACCTGCTGTGTGCTGTATTATCAATTTTGCCTATCAAAGTTATCCTGTCAATGACTCTTTGAGACAGATAATGATTATCACTGTTTTATAAAATAGAAACAAAGACTCCAAGAGGTTATGTAATAAGAACAGTTGGCAAAGGGCAGAGCTCAAATTTTTATATAGCCATTCTTGCCTTTGGCAGTGAGTCCAGGCTAAAGAGAAGGATAAATATGATACTGGGCAGCTTAGATATCTAGAAGTCTCCCATTGGATTACTTCTCAGTTTGGTTTCCTAGAATTAGCTGGGTCCTTCCAGAACTCTCAGTAGTGAGGACTGCCATCAGGCTACAGTCAGCAACTTCCATAGGGATGTGGAAGATCAAAGCAACAAGAAGGAAACTTGGGAGGCAAACACAGTGTTTATGATGCTAATCCAAACCTTAGCTTTGTGAGGAGGAGACAAAAACCTCCCTCATAAAACCTGGAACACAGCAGGCGGCTGTGCAGCAAGCAGCTTCAGTGCTTACCTCCGACTGATGACAAAGGCTGCAATGAGAATGACCACTAGCACCACACTGCCTGAGACAGAGACCAGAAGGACAGTGGAGTTGGCCCCATCTCCAATGATCCGGGAAGGCACTGGGAATGACAATTACACAAAGGTCACCTTTGGAAAAGTTACAAGAGGTAGAACTTCTGAATGGGTCACAGTTTTCAATGTTCTGAAACCATTTGGAATGCTCACAGCCTCAGCCTTGTTGGCTTTTCCTTACGTATTCATGCAATGGCATTTTCTAAGACAGCCTTAAAGAGACAAAGACATTCTTTTTATAATTGTACGACGAACTTCCAACAGAAAACTCATTAAATCCTATGCAAAACATAAGTCATTGCTTTTTCTTCTTTTCCTTTTTATCACCATCTTCGCTATTACATAACGATCAAACGTATTTCTCAGTGAGAAATGCACTTGAAAATTTCAGAAAGGATAGCAGATTTGAATGTACTGTCTTCCCCACAGCTGTCAAAAACCTACCTATTTTTGTTCAGCTCAAAAGTCACTTTATCCTTGTAGCCTTCCTGAATAATTTCAAAGGACGTAACCCCCCTCAGATTTACTTCTACTTTCACTTCTGCTTTTTTTCTCCATTCTTATTTTATTTAATAATTTGTGGACAAATGATTTTCTAGAACTGATGTCAGCAATTCTGTCTTTATCAAGTAGGCTCAATTGTGGTTTGTTAATTAAGGAGGTGGCAACATTGTATGCAAACTCTTTGTTCATGGGTAGGCCTCTCTGTAAGCATTTTTAATTTAATCAACCAATTGATCGACTCACAATGCTGAAAGATTTGTTATCTTTGTTCAAAGGGGCTTTAAAAAACTGATCTGACTTGATTTAAACAGATTCCTAGAAATAAGTAAGAAAAGAAAAATTGTTGGTCCCTTTTTAAAATCTTCTTAGGAAGAAAATTCCCTATCTTAATGTAGGATAGCTATGCAATACTCAGTCAGTTTAGTACTCCCATTTTTCATGGTTAATACAAGGTTCAAAACAAGAGAAAATAAGCAACAACTTTCATTCATATGAAAAGACAGCACAGATACCATAATGAAAAATGTTATTTAAATAGCACGAAGTTTTCTAAGTTACAAACCCTGGCTATCTTATTTCAAGCAACATTTATTGCTGAAAAATTTTTGCCTAACCAAAAATTATGTGCAGCTCCTTGGATTTCACCCTAATGGGATTCACCCGGTAGTATAAAAAGAGCCTCAGACAACTTGAGTCTGGGTGGTCCCTTGTTACCTGTGTTGGTTGTGACCTCCAAGGGCTCGCTGAAGTCTCCATAGCCAGCTGCTGTCCTGGCTCTCACGTGGAACACATAGGAAGTCAGAGGGTTCAGGCCTTTGATATCCGTGTTCCTGGCAGCTGTCCGAACTATACGATAACTTCGTTCATTCTGATCCTGTATTATGGGAAGATAAAATCAGGGAAAGCAGCAAAGTAAATCCTCTGCTTTCTCTAGGTGTAATATCAAAGAAGCCAAGCCAGTCTACTCAGACACTGAAAGAGAATGGAGCCTGATAAACTCTCTAAAGCTTATATTTCTTGAATGTTTTAAGTGTTACTGTTACTTCGTAGCTATTGAAAGAAATGCATTCTGTAGGTTGCCTATTTGCTCTGTTGATTATTTATTTTGCTGTGCAGAAGCTTGTTAGTTTAATTAAGTCCCACTTGTTTATTTTTGTTTTTGTTGCATTCGCTTTTGAGGTTTTAGCCATAAATTCTTTGCCTAGGCCAATGTCCAGAAGAGTTTTTCCTAGGTTTTCTTCTAGGAGTTTTATGGTCTCAAGTCTGACATTTAAGTCTTTAATTCATCTTGAGTTAATTTTTGTCTATGGGGAGAGGTAGGGAGCAAATTTCATTTTTCTGCATGTAGCTATCCAATGTTCCTAGCACCATTTGTTGAATAGAGTGTCCTTTCCCCAGTGTATGTTTTTGTCAGCTTTGTCAAATATCGGTTGTAAGCAGTTTGGTTTTTTCCTAGATTCTTTATTCTGTTCCATTGGTCCATATGTCTGCTCCGATACCAGTGACATATTGTATTGGTTACTATACACCATGGAATACTATTCAGCTGCCAAAAATAAAGAAATAATGTCCTCTGCGGCAACTTGGATGGAAAAGGAGAACATCACCCTAAGTGAACTAACTCAGGAACATAAAACCAAACACCACCGGCTTTCACTGATAAGTGGGAGATAAGCTAAGGCACTTCAAAGACAGAAGAGAATGATATAATGAACACTGGAGACTCAGAAGAAGGGCAAGGGGTGGACAGACAAAAAAATTACCTATCGGGTACAATTGTACACAGGTAGGAGTGGTGAGTACATTTAAAGTCCAAACCAAAAATTATTTGTACCCTTTAAAGCTGTTGAAATAGAAAAAAAAATAATAAGGCCAGGTGCGGTGGTTCAAGACTGTCATCCCAGCGCTTTGGAGAGTTGAGGAGAGAGGATTGCCCGAGCCCTGGGGCTTGAGACTAGCCTGGGCAACTTGGTAAGACCCCCGTCTCTACAATAAATCAAAAAATTAACTGGGCATGGTGGCATTCACCTGTAGTTCCAGCTACGTGGAAGGCTGAGGCAGAAGGATCACCTGAGCCCAGCAGGTTGAGGCTGTGGTGGCCATGAGCGTGCCACTGCAGCCACTGCACTCCAGCCTGGGCAACAGAGTGACACTCAAACTAAAAAAAAAAAAAAATTAAAAATTAAAAAAAGTAAGAAAAAAAAAGAAGAAATGCATAGTTTGAGTATAAGTACTGTCGACAGTGACTATATCCAGATCTTCACTCAGAATTTTTGTTTTGAGAGAACATTAAAAGATGGTTGGTGGCTTTTAAAGTTCCACATCCAGTAATTAAAAAAAAAAAACTGTAAGAAGATCCCTTTCTTTTTCTATTTTCATTCTAGAAAATATTTGAAAAATTCATAATCTGGTTTCAATTAAAAAATTCTGCCCCTGTTCTGCTTTTAACAAGGAAGCTAATAAGTGATTATCTTTAAAAAGAAAAAGAAGACAATTGTTCATTTTCTAGAAACCATAAATGCAAAAAGCTCTCTTCAGAATTCTATCCTTTAAGAGACAAGTTATTTGTAAAAATAATGTGCCTTTCTATAACTTTAAGAGACTGAAGAATGTAATTTTTCTTCCCTGACTTTCTATTAAAAGTCATCAAAACCCACATCTTTATTCTGAATAGCAGTGATCTGCTTAAACAGATCATTATTTCAACTGTTATGAGTCACTCTCCCGGATAGAAGGTTCATAGATTAGAACTTCTTAGCTATCTTGATTTCTATTACTAGAAATAAAAAATAGTTATATTAGAACATATTCTAATATGTATTATTTTTATTTTTTCAGTATAACTAAATAAATATTAGATTTCATAATCAGATTTGATTGGAATGCAAAATGCATTTGGTTTTGGAATTCACTGGTATTCCACAAGTTATACTGTCCATCCAACACTTAAACAAGGGAAGGAGAGAGAACAGAAGGGAGTAAAGGAAGGGAAGGAGGAAGAAGAAAGAAAAAAAAGAAAGGAAACTTGTCCGTTCAAGTAATACCTTCTCATAATACTTGACTTCATACTCCAAGATTACTCCATTGGGCCGATCTGGTTCCAACCAAGCCAGCGCCACACTGTATCTCGTGACTTCTTTAGCTTGGACCAAAGCAATGGATGACGGTGCTATCAGAAAAATGAAAGACAAAAGACATTTTCTTTTAGAAACAAAAAATATTTCTGGTGATACCAGTCAATAATTTCATTTTACTTAAGAAAAATGTGAAAGATGGCCTCATTTTTCTCTTGACTGTTTCATTCTTCTGCAGCACAAAAGTTTATCTTTTTAAAAATTCTCTCTAGTATTTTTTTGTTTGTGGTTTGCCTTAAAAAGATTGTCTCTGAAGTAAAAGTTTGGGGATCCACAGGCCTATAGTATCACATCCACAGCACCCAGACTCATTTCTCGTAAAGACTGTAGGTATAGAAAGGCCTGTACTGATTCTGAGCTTTTGCAAGCCACAACAGCCTCTGGGAGATCTCATTGCAAGCTCAGTAAAGCTGCATCTCATCCTGCCTTCAAGTGTGATGAGTGTCATCTTCCCGGTCTCTAATTTTATACAAGCGAGAGAATGTGCAAGTCTTCTATGGGTACTGCAGGAAATCCTGGAAGGCAAACAATTTACATACTTTCCAATATAAAGAAAAGTACTGCTTAAATACTGTAAGAGTTTTCAGTTTGAACGCAACCATGCGAATAATGAAGAACACAAATAAAGCATGACGGTCTCTTTGGACACATGACATTTTGCAACTATTTTACAAGAGTTGGCATGTTGTTTTTGCCTGCTTTCCACTGAGAAAGACACAAAAGCAGTTCTCTACTGAGTGTGTTATGGGGGTAGGGAGAAGGGACACACTTGAGATTTATAAACCCAGACTGCCTAAAGCTTGCTTCTCCACTGTGGTGGTCACATCTCCACAGCCAGCTGTTATCAAGCTCTGCTGTGACTGACAATGGCTGGTACAAATGTGTGATCTCCAGGGAGAAGAGGTAGCATTCATGAAACCATTAATCTTATCTAACAAAGCTGGCCTGTGGAACCAGAGATTAGAAGGCTTCCTAAATACAATGTATATTCTTCCCCCCCCCCCAAACTGTGGAAATATGTGAAAACAAACGTCAAGAAATGGCCACTGAGGAACAAATTAGTGTTGGGTCATCCTCCTGCCCTTCTCCAATACACACATGACTGTCAACCCCTAACTCAGAGGACAAAAAGAGAAAAAGTAAAATAAATTGTCACTGAAAAGGGAATGGGAAAAGCTTCAAACCGGCTTGACCACATCTGATGGGTATACTGACGGCAGGGAAACCAACCAGACACACCACTGTGACAAAGGGGAGTCTTCCAGTTGAATCCAATCCAACAGGGACTGTCTAGTGGAAGTGGCAATTCGACAGCCTGGCATCTCTGTTAGAGATGCTTCGAGATGGTAACACACGCACACCCCTTCCCATTTTTCTATCTTTCTCTCTTTCTCTCTCAACCCCAAAGCCATTCCAGATTGAATCACAGGCATAAACACAAGGGAAAGAGACAGTGGATACACATGTCTTCCATCAAAGGCAATCCCAAAGTTAGTAATACCAAACTGAATGAACAAAGCTCCGTGCAGCAGACATATGGAAGCCACTGAACATCTGAGGAAAATGAAAAACGGAAATGTGCTCATTACTTTCATTAAGGTTCCCTTTCCCCAGCGCGTGCGCGCGCGCACACACACACACACACACACACACACACACACACACACACACACCATTTTCTCTCTCTCCATTTTCTTTACTGATTGACACAGAGCCATTGTCCAGCAAAATGCAATGAGTGACTTTTTAAAATATAGAGGTAGGAAGGAGGCTAAGAAAACTGCCTGGCTGTGAAAAGTCATCTCACTCCAGGTAATAAATATATTGCCTAACAGAGTACTTTAGCATACACTCCATAAAAAGGGGCTCTTTAAATTCTGATGTTCAGGATTCGGAAGTGAAACAGAAAAGCAAGGTCATTAGAAAGAAAACAAGAAGGAGAAAAATCATAAAATTATAAAATGAAGCTTCTGTCTGAAATAGTCTGGGTCAGGTCCTGATAATCGATAGAATCCTCAGGAAAGAATTGCCTGCCTGCCCTCGGAGTGCACTGATGAGCTAAGGCGGCTTCTCTCTGGTTGGGTTATCACTAAACTGCTGCATGTGGGAAATGAATCTGATTTCTATTTTAGAGGTTTGAGCAGCAGCGTTTTTGTGGCCATTCAAAGGGAATATGAGCTCAACGAAGGTGCTCAAAAAACCTCAAGCAGAGAGTTAGCAACAAGATCATGTTAACTAATAGAATATTTCGAATGCAGCCCTACTTGGAAAACTTACATGTACAAATGTGAAAATAAGCCAACAGAGTGTACCTTGACTCAGCTGTCATAAAAGGGAGAAAAATGAGAAATTAAAAGAGAAATGCAAGCTAGAGGCTAGAAGAACTGAAGGTAAATAGGCTGCTAGGCCGGGGACCATCAGAAAACTGCTGAGTTCACACTGTCTCCGTACCTACTATAGAAATAAATGCAACCAACGAATAGTAGACTACATAGATCTAATTGACAAAAATTATTAGGTTGTGTGGGTGTAAAAATCTCAACTGTTCACTGAGCAGATTTCTTCAGAAGAGCATGTTATTGGGACACAGTGTCTAAAGCAACTCATGACCAAGTGAGGTTGGGACTTGTACCCAAAACATGCAGCTGCACTGTTATATAATATGGCAGTCGTTCCCCACCCCTGGAGAGGAGCTTCTTACCTTTTCCAGTAAGAAGATTATCCATTAGAGAAAAGCTGGGTTTTGCCATCTTGCCACTTTGGAATGGAGGCAACTTGGATGTTCTCCACATCATAAACCACATACGGGCTCTTTCCTCACCTTTTTTACCCATTTTCAATACCACTTCCAGCCCAACATCTGGAAGCCATCACCCTACCGTGCATGCTGCCTGTTCCTCATTTCACTAGATGAGGCATTTGCCAATGGCATTTCCCAATCTTCCCTATGCCAGAGGTTCCCAACCATCAGACTTCTCGTATCATATGTTTGCTGCTACGTCCTTCTGCAGCTTGGAAGGTGATTTAAGCAGTATTTTTCTTTAATAAACACAGCATTTTGAACTTCAGCAGTTCTATTTTAAAAGAAACTTCCCATGTATTGGTTTCAATGAAACCCTGTTATCACTCACAACTAATGGCAAGCAACCATAAAAATGAATGTAATACATAAATGAAGCAATGCTGTCAATGATTGCTGGACACTCTTTTTTTTTTTTTGAGTTGGAGTCTCACTCTGTTGCCCAGACTAGAATGCAGTGGCACACTCACGGCCAACCCAGCGTCAACCGGCTGGGCTCCAGCGATCCATCTGCTTCAGCCATCCAAGTAGCCAGAACTACAGGCACGTGCTACCATGCCCGTCTAATTTTTTTTTTTTAAAGGGCTCACCAAATTGCCGGGCTGGGCTCGAATCCGTGGGCTCGGGCAACCCACTTGCCTCAGCCTCCCAAAGTGCTGGGATTACAGGCTAAGCCACCGAACCTGGCCTGCTGGACACTCTTACCTCTCCAAGATATAGAGATTGGCCAGTGTTAAAAAAGCACAGGCGATCCAGGCACTGACTTGAGATTCTGACCTCAGAGTACTCAGAATTACTGAGAGAGAACTGAAAAGGAACTAACTTGCACACAGAATGGTTCAGTATTATACAATATCTCATTTGTAGCTTCCCTAAAACTATCTCTGATGCCATCCTGGTATTTCTCTACACTTTGGTAAACAAGATCCAACCCCACCCGTTTAAAAATGTCTTGGATCCTGAATAAAAACCCCCAAGGGCTCTACCCATTGCTAACCAATTAGGAGAGGAGATGATAGAATAATAAAATAACAGAATGAACACTCCCCCTAAATACACGGTTCAACAGGAGAGTTGACCAATCAATGTCTTTGTTCAAAAGAGGGCTTCCTTGCCGGGCTCGGTGGCTCAGCCTGTCATCCTGCGCCTTTGGGAGGCTGAGGTGAGTGGATTGCCTGAGCCCGTGGGTTCGAGACCCGCCTGGGCAGCGAGACCTCATCTCTACAATAAATAAAAAAACCAGCTGGGCGTGGTAGCGCGCGCCTGTAATTCCGGCTACTTGGAAGGCTGAGGCGGAAGGATCGCCGGAGCCCAGCGGGTCGAGGCTGCGGTGGCCGGGAGCGGCCACTGCACTCCAGTCTGGGCGACAGAGTGAGACTCCAACTCAAAAAAAAAAAAAAGAGGGCTTCCAATCATAGTTGAAATTTTGCTCAAAAAAAAGAGAATTTTCAGTTGCCACTCAGCTCTTTGATTTACATTCTTACTCTTTGTAGAGACAAGGTTATTCCTCAATACTGACTCAATCACTACACACACACTTATGAGTACCAATGGAACAAGGCCAAGATGGGGAATGGGTTAACAAGGCTGAATAGAATACGAGGGAGGACTCCCCCTCAAAAAATGAAATCATTTTTTGGAGGGCTGGCCCCTTGTAATACAGGCTCCTCCCTCTAGGTATGTGTTCTAGGAACCCATTGGCATCACTGTGCCAGCTAGTATTGTTGTGAGAGGCTGCGTTAGGCCTCAGTGCATTTTTTTTTTTGGAGATTCTTTTAGCACATTTGCCCATTTCATGATGGGTAATTTACAAGTGCACCTGCCCACACCATGCTGAGTGCTTAGCTGTTTTTGACCAAAAACAACATGACCTTCCATGCCCCTACCTTTCCTATTCACCGAATCTTGCCCTGAGAGGCCTTTTTGTTTCCACCGATGAAAATTCCCTTTATTTTTGGGTCCCCTTTTGCACAGTCCTTGGTATCAGATTAAGTACCATTAAAGTATGCTTTAGCCTCTTCTTAACTTAAAAAAAAAAGGTGGAGAATTTTTATAATAGTCTTACAGAGAAAACACAGTCTAATGTCAACTCAAAGGACTCATTTTTCTAAATTCAAAAGGAGATAGTTCCTGCCAATCCTCTTCTTATTCAAGCTCTCTTATGATGTTGGAAGAAAGACGAGGAGGTCACTTTCTCATCATATTGCATTTGTAGACAAGCAGTATACCTGCTGA